AAACAAAATTCACCTCTAAATGATTTAGAGACTGACTCTTAATGAAACTAACGAAAAAAGTTACAAAAGTCTACCGACATCATAGAAATTAGGATGGTGACAATTTTAATTTTATTTGACGGTAGTGGTATTCGTAATTATTATTAGAAAGTATAATAATTCTGATAAGGACACAATGAATCTTTACCTAACCACTAAATCATTCATAATTTCTTTTTAATACTATCAATAAAATATATTTTTTTTAATTTTTTTTATATTAAAGGGTTATTCATAAATCATAATCTCTTTTTCATATTTCAAAATAGCATTGTTCATAATTTCTTATGTAACCTTCTAGAATCATTTCATATATATAGGATGTTTACTTTACAAACCATATTATTTGTATAAATTATATAAACTTTTTTTAATCAATCATAATTTTTTATTTTGTTAATTTTTTTGTAATTATTAGAGGTTGATTAATAATTTTTATTGTAGAGGGTGTTAATCATGTATATTATCATATTCATTACATTAATTTTAGATAAATATATGAAACAGTTTCATTAAAATTTCATAAATATTATACGAAACAACTTCATAACCATATATGAAATAACTTTATCAAAAAAATACTATATGAAACAATTTATAAGATTACACAATTTCATAATTTTTTTTCGTAAGGTTAAATAATGAAATCGATGAATGAGAGTGGTTTGCATGGTTTGTTCAAATATGAGTGGTTTGCATTTTATCGCTCCTATATATATATATATATATATATATATATATATATATATATATATATATATATAGGAAGGTTCAAACGAGAACACTAACTATTTAAGAGAATTCGGAAAAGGTCGTTAATGTACACAATCGCATGTGATTTTAATTAACGTCAAAAAAGTGGAAGCGGACGACTTTTGAACCTGTATGATTTTGTACGTGAATATATATATGTGTGTGTATAAATCATGTATGATTTTATACGTGTATCATATATGATTTTGTATATTAACGTCATTTTTCTTGTTTTCTTGAATAGTTATCGTTCTTGTTTGAACATGCCCTTATATACACACACACATACATGTAAATACATATACATATGTAGAGTTGGTTTCACGTGAAACCAGACTCTTTTCGTGAGACTCATGAAATCACTTTTTTACGCTTGAAACTTTACAGCAAAACACTGTGAATGTAATTTTTTTTGAACCTTCACAACAAAAACACTGAAGGTTAATTTCACAGTCTTTTGCGGTGAAGCTTCAAGTGTAAAAAAGTGGTCTCACGAGTCTCACAAAAGCAGATTGGTCTCACGTGATTCCAAGTGTACATATACATACACACACACACGCACACACACACACACACATATATATATATATATACACATATATATATATATATATATATATATATTAAAAGGTTCATTTGAGAAGTGATAAATATTTGATAAGTAAAGAAGTGATCTTAGTCTTTCATCTGGTCAACATTTGCGGCTTTGACCGTGAAACATTCGATAATTTCTTGCATGGGTATGCGGAAGATAGAGGAATAGTTTCATAATTTTATAAACAGATGGCAAACGAGTTCATATGTGAAACTATATGATACACATATGAGTTATATGTTCATACCCGTATATTATTTCACATGTGAACTATTTAACTGGTTCATATATGAATCAGTTAATTAGTTCATATGTGAATCACAGGGTTCATATGTGAATCAATTAATTAGTTCATATGTGAATTAGTTAATTAGTTCATATGTTAATCACGTAGGTTTATACGTGAATCAGTTAAACTAGTTCATATGTGAATTACACGAGTTCACATTTGAACATATAATTCATATATGAATCCGTTTGTCACATATTTGTAAAAGTTACGGAACCACATTCTTTTTTTTTTGCATAGCTGCAATTTTCAACGAGTCAAAGCCGTGACAAGAATCATTGACCAGTCAAATCCGATCTTGACGGGATGAAGAGCTAGGATCACTTATTTACTTATCAAATATTTACCACTTCTCAAAATAAACTTTGGCTATATATATATATATATATATATATATATATATAGTTTAAATCAAATGAGAACCACAAGAAGGTTATAAACCCGTGAGAACCCGCTAAAAATAATTTTTTTGCACGATTTTTTTCCATTAAATGTTAGAATTTAAGATTTTTTTTTTCAAATATATGTGTTTCATAATATGATAATTTCACATGCATTTGTTTCATATCGTGAAACTTTTTTTCGTGAATTCTTCGCTTCACCAAGTTAACCCAAAAAAATTTCACATGGATTTTTTTCACCATATGAACACAAACATATGTGAAGTAATAGCTAAAATCATAATCTTTGATGAAAAAAATCATGTAAAAATATTTTTATATCAGTTCTCATAGATTTGAAATATTTTTGTAGTTCTCCTTTGATTATCGTTATATATATATATGTATATATATATATATATATGTATATATATATGTATATAATTATGTATACGCTATTAGTTGATTTTTTATTTTCCAAAGTTAGTATGTGAGGACCAACACAGAAAGTGTTTGTAGAATGAGGAGTTGAATACAAACACAACAATTTTTTACTTTTTAATTATGTATGTTTTATAAACAAAGAATTAAAAATGGTTGCAGAAACAAGAAAGAAATACATAACCTAAACAATTTAATTGTGACAGATTTACTCCTAAAGAGATACTAAAAGAGAGAAAGAAAATTTGAAAAAACTGAGACCCCCTTAGAGGCTTGTGATCGTTCGTGTTCACACATTGGGCACAAAGTCCTCACAGTGGCGGTGCAAGTGCACGTCGATACTATGATCGATTGCAATTAATAAAATGGTAAAATACCGAGATCGTTTCCACAAGGACTGAACTACTGAGATTTAGAGACTTTCATGAACTTCTTGATCACGTTTCGGTTTGTGAATAAAATTTGGATTTTGTTGGTAAAAAGCTTTAAAATACGAAAATGGCGAGATAAACTTATGGACTAAAGAATGGGCAAGGGTGCAAGTGTTCATTAAGATAAAAATTAACAATATAATGGTTATAAACTTATGAGTTGCTTATAAAAATTCCAATATCTCAAAAGTGAAATTTTATAAACAGTCCCCATAAACTTCTACAAAGTTCATACGCTCACCACTTCGAAATTTGCCGATTTAGCTAAACAGAAAAAGAAAAAAAATTCATACCCAAATCTCTTTGTGATATGAATAAGCATCGCTTAATCCTTAGCTAAATACATACATAATTCCCATCTCTATGTAATTATCAAAGACTCTCTCGAGTTCTTTGTGTATCACTTAAGCCGTATTTGAAATCCGCTCATCTCTGGGTCTAAGATCTAATATTAACACTTCAAAGTGATCATTCTTATCCGCGTCAAGTTTAAGTCCCGTCTTAATTGACCAAGTTTACGAAGTGGTAAAGAGGAAAAAGACCCAAATATTGTATAAAAATCCTAAGTTGAACTCACACCCACACCCATACCCATACCCATACGAGTAAATTAGCTCATAATAATAGACCTAATAAAACATAATACAAGACAGTAAATAAGACTGAAATGTAACTTTCATTAATATGAAAATAAACTTTGTTTCCACAGTGATGAGACTGTTGGCAACAGATTACAACTTCAATACAATAAAATAAAATGCTAAGCTAAAACTAAGAGAAGAAGAGAAGATCTTCAGCTAGTAATGCTTCTAAGGGATGATTAAACGGGATGATCTTCAAAGGAGCCCAAAGCCTGTTTATGCAGGAGAGGAATGGATAAGGGTGAAGCCTTTTATCCAAAAGAAATTAAACACAAACAAGCCTTGAGGCAAAGACCATCTAACAACTACTTAAAATAATTCAAAAGTACAACTTTACAGCCAATTACAACTGGAGGAAATCTTTAGGCAAGATCTTCAAGCAATACATCCTCCACAAAGTAGAAGACTAACAAAATTCGTAAACATCCCACAGTGGTGACACGGTGGGCAATTGCCAAAAAATGCAGATTTTCGAAATAAAATTTCTTCCTTTGTGTTTCATCATCCTTTTTAAAACTTTTTAGAAATATCGGGAAAAAACAAGGAAATTGGGTATTGATAGATGCAAAAATGGAGGAAATAAATAAGAAATAACTCTAAAAAATGAGAGTTATCATACCCCGAAACTTGAGATATTACTTGTTCTCAAATAACGAAAATGAAAGGGATATGAACCAAAAAAGGAACGAGAAAACATAAAACTTACAGAGGGGCGTTGAAATCTCATCAAGCTCAGATGGTGTACGACTTCCTTTATTTGATTTTTGAGGTGCAAAAATTAATCAATAGGGCTTTATCGGATTAGTGTATTTGACTAAAAAAAACTCTCCAAAACTTGTCTAAAATAACAACATGACTTGAATGATTTCGATTTATGACATCTTTTTGTTGTATTTTTGACAATTTCTAGAAACCCAATTTTTGATTTTTTTTACTATTGATCTTTGGGTTAAAGCATTTTGCTCTATTTTTTTGTATCTTCCAATTTTTCGAAGACATTTGATACATCTATATTTTTTTTATAACACTTTGGGACACATACTCCTCCAAACTTAAACCGAACAATGTCCACATTGGAGAACCGGGTTAAAGTGTTTGGCTTGGTAAAAAGAGAAAGTGTTTCGGCCAAAATGAAAGACGACCTACATCTTTGTAATTTTTGCAATCCCAAAAGAACTCATCAAAGAAATCGTACCTGAAAAATAATGAATATGCTAACAAGACCACAAAAATATCTAACGCCCAATATTTACTAACAAAAGATCATAGTAGCGAAAAACAAAAATATAGAGCAAATCATCAACAACTGTGTTATATGAACACAAAAGACGCGGTTGGAAAAAATAGCAAATACCGACAAAAGCAACATTAAAGTTTCAAAAATAATGATGAAACACCGAGTATGAAATTAATCCGTTTTACCCATATTACCTCGACTGCCCGAAGTCTGCCCTGTAGCATTGGAAGTGGAAGTGGAAGTCCGAAGAATTTTAGGAAGCCGAACTTGTGGAGGACAAAGACCTCCTGGGAAACGTGGAAAATCGGCAGCCATCATCACATTCTTGGCAAATAAAAACTTGTTTATAACTTGGTTCTGATCGCGCCTGTATGTCCAGGACTTTTCCAAACAAGCAGTCAAGCCAGCAACTTTGTTTTCAACTTTGGTGATCCGCTCGGTGATTTGAGTCAAAGCTTCCGCAATCGCTCCGATCTTTTGATTGCATTCTTCCCATTGGCTAGCCATTAAAGAGAGCCAAACTTCGGTACTTTACCCGGTAGCCGAAGGTGGTATCAAAGAAATCTTGGAAGTAGCGGGAGGGACAACCGCGGATGGCTGAGAAGCAGGAACTGTAGTGTCATCGGGCAGTCAGGGGCTGTTTGCAGCAGGTCCAAAAGTGGTCTGCTATCCGGTAGCATCATCCACCAAATCATTGTTCTCGTACATTGGTTTGTGAATTCTATTGACAGTTCCTTGATCGAGTAAGGAATGACTGAAGGAAATCACATCATGCTCAGAAGTTGGTACTTTTGCGGCTACTAGTAACCTCGTAATCAATCCTTGAAAAATCAAAAGAGAACTAGCATGCATCGTTGAGTATAGTGGAATAGGCAAGTGCACCTACATCAACCGGTAGCTCCTTGATAATACAATAAACAAGAATGCATTTTGGCCGTGATAAGGTATGGTCATGCATGCAGGGCTTGATGTTATGCCGAACAAATTAAAACCATAATGTAGCCTCTAAAGTCAAGTGGCCCGACATGAGGATCTTCCGCTGGTTGTCATGTGACCAGCCGTGACCGGGCAAAGTAAGTGACTTGGCAATGTCATACTCGGGCACGTCCTTACCACCATCAATGAATTGCCGATACAAACATATAAATGGGGTAGTGAGTCTGAGCACCAAATTAAGTTTTGGGGCTGTCCAGTTGATTCATGTTCCTCAAATGACAATCATGTCATTTTTGGAACTCCCAATTGCGGCATAAAATTCCGTGACTAAAGTTTCATTAATTTTACATGGAATAAAGAACATATGTTCCCAATGGTGGGTGAGCAAATGTTATTTAACACACATGAGTTTATCCGCCAACTTTAGCTTGAAAACTCATTCACATAAGAACCGATTATTTCTAATGAGCGCAAACCGCTCATCAAAAGTAGTAGAGGTACCTCGATTGCGTGAACTAGTCCTTTTTTGTGTTGGTGTAGGGGCTGTCATTTCTTCCACTTCGGGTTCATAATTCGCATCATCTTGTTCCGTCACATTAGCCTTTCCTTTTTCCTGCCGCTGTTTCGATCGAGTTTTTGGTCCTCCCAAAACAGTGCTCGAGGATCGAGTCTGCCTCCTTACGGTTGTAGACGTGGAAAATTGGGTGCTTTCTGATCTTTGACTGGCATCCATATTGGCTGAGGAATCGAACGGGAACATCTTAGCCTTACTTACCGCCTGTGAACTTTTAAAATCGAAAGTCATGTCTTCTAAACCTTCATCCTCATAATCGCCCATTTGATTTAGGTCAAATCTGGAACGGGTTGGGGAAACATGTGGTAAAGGGCTGTGAGAATAGGCTCGACATTGGGAATGGGGGTGGGTGTGGGTTGTGGTGGTGGCATGATAGGGGGTGCAATCAGTGTACTCAAGGCTAAGAAAAAGGGTTTTGGGTGGTCGATGTGTGGAGAGGAGGAGATGAAATGGCCACCCTAGTGAGAATGGCGAGTCCATCATCATCGTAGTTAAGGACTGTGGTGGTCAGAGGTGATGGAGGGTTGGGAGGCGGCGAGGCAATGGCGGGAGAAGATTGGTGAGGGGGGGCTAATTGTGGCCGGAATTGGGAGAAGAGGGGTGGCGACAGCACTGGCAGTGGAGGAGCCAGCCGTCGTCGAAGAGATCGCTGGCTCATAGGCAGGGACGTTTTTGCCGGAGGTGGTGGTGGCGGTTTGCTGGGGGCGAAGTGATCACTGGGAGGGAGTTGGATGGGGGTTTCGAACAAGATGCTTGGGTCTGGCCATGGGAGGGGTGTAATCGAATGAAGAAGATGAAAGGGATGAGGTGGATTTCTTGGAAAAATAAGTTTTCAAAAAGTTGAAAAGATGACAATCAACTTTTTAAAAAAAATGTATATATATATATATATATATATATATATATATATTTGAAACAAATCCCTTTAAGACCCATGATGAGTAGCCGGCCATAATATGGTCAAAGACTAAAAATGTTTACATCGTGGTTTAAACCATCATGCCCACTCTTCTTTTCTTTTTCTTTTTTCAAAAAAATTTATTTTTTACATAATTCCTTGAAAACCACCCTAAAAACCGATTATCCAAGGGTTAAAAAAACAAAAAGTGGTTTATTTCCACAAGGGTGGTGCCTGATTGGTTTGAACTTGGCTCCAAAGGTCAAAAGTTCGAGGAAGTCCCAGGTTCAAATACAAGGAGAAACAAAAATCCTCTTGTGGTCATGGAGGTTCAAATGTGGTGAATCCGGGCTACGTGCAAAATAGGTGGTCACCGAGATAGTTGGCTTGCATAGCGGGTTGGATATACAGGTTAATGAAGAAGTGGTTTATTTAGTGGTTTAAACCACTACCCCGCTCTTTTTGTTTGTGATTTTTTTAAACCTTAAGAAGTGATGTGAGGTAAAACAACCCATCTTTTCACATTTTAAATAAAGAAAAAACTATTTTTTTTGACAATTTCTTGAAGATTACCTTATAAAACCAACCATTCAAGAGAGAAAAACCAAAACTGGTTTATTTAGATGTTTAAACCACTACCCCAATCTTTTTGATTAAAAAAAATTATTTAACCAAATATTTGCCATGATGATCTAAAATCTACCTTTTTCCAAAATCTCAACTTTCTAACAAGATCCAACTTTTCAAGAAAAACTGGTTAAAACAAATAATCACCAGGCTGCAAATTTCCCTCAAAAAACGAAAGACCAAGACAGTGGGCATAATCTTCCCACTGTCTACTCAAAACAGTAAAAAATGTTTTTTCCCTTTTTTCTCCATTCTTACCTTAAAACTAAAATATTTACATAATTTTGGAAATCATTCACGAAAATTACTAGGTTGGATCAGTTATTCCCTCAGGGAGGAAGTGTTTGATCCGATTCCCATTAACTTTGAAAACAATGTATTCTTGGGGATTTAAAAGATCTACCATTCCAAATTTCCCTACGTTGACAATTGTTAATGTTCCAGACCATCATGATTTAAGCTTTCCGGGAAAAAGCCTTAATCGAGAATTAAAAAGGACCTTTTGATCATTTTCAAAATTCAATGATTAATCTTACGATCATGTCATGCTTTTGTTTTCTCTTTGTAAAGTTTGGCATTTCGTAGACATGATATCACCAATCTTCCAACTCATTGAGTTGAAATTTTCTTTTCTCTTCCGCATAATTTTCATCCAAATTAAATTCTTTGATTGGCCAAAAAGCTTTGTACTCTAATTCTAGTGGGAGATGACATGTTTTACCAAAAACCAATTGGTACAGAGACATTCCCAAAGGGGTTTTATGTTATAACCAGGTTTCCTACAAACCTGGGTTGAGGTAAATTTATGTGTTCATTATGTGATAGCATGCATGTTGTCTTTAAGATAAATGCATGAATTATGTGCACATGTGTGGTAATTTGATATTATGCATGCCTGTGGAAATTTTTATAGGCGGTTATATGATAAAATAATATGTGGAAATACTATTATAATCCAAACCTTCATGGTTAAGAAAGGTGGATTATAAAACATTATCTTTCCACCGTCTAATGATTTTATATTGAAAGATATTCATCACCGCCTCATCCTAAGTATAAAAGAAAGAGGATAAGGTAAAAACCTTATCAGTTGACTATTTTATAAAATATACAAGAGAAATTTAAAGGCGGTGAAAGTGTTCTTGAAGGAATTCTTGAAAAATATTCTTGAAGAATATTGTTGTTTAAAGATTATGTTATTTGCTACGTGATAATCTGCAGAATCTGTTATTTTAAGATGAGTTTCTGAATTACTATCTGTTTACAAATCATGAGTTTTTATCTACTGATTGATGGTTTGGAATTTAAAAGAATTTGGTAAAGCTGTTCTAATCAGCTTAAAGGAAATAATTCATAATTTTGAATTTGTTTTGGAATGATTAAAAGCAAAAACTGTGTTTTAATAGTTTTGGGATATGATATCCTTTGTTGAGGATTTAAAGAGGAATAAATGATTTGAGAAATCATTTACAGAACATATTGTTCTAAGGCTTGGAAGGTTTTGAATATAAACCTWTTTTGAGATTATGATTGGTTAAAACTATAGAYGAGGTTCACTCTGACGTATATGACTTTGTTCCGTCATTGGATGAAATAGTCTATAGATTTTGGTTAAAACTATGAACGAGGTTCATTCTGACAGAAATGACTGCAGCCTGTCATTGGATGAAATAGTTCATATGAATTTAAGGGGATATAAGGATGGTCATTGTGTGTGATGGATACCTATTGTTATAAACAGGGGAATTATGGATGTAATAAGGATGGTCGTTGTGTGTGTATGCATGGTATAACTCTTGATATTATATCTAGTAAGATCACAACATATTAGAGTTCTCTCTTCTTGGTGATTTGAGGATTCAAAGATGTTGTTCTTATTGGAAATAGTAGTATTGATGTTATGGTTACAGGAAAAATGTGGCTTATGGTCATTGGTTTTAGCATAAAGTATTTTAGAACAGATTGTACATTTTATGAGGAACCAGAGGGCTCTGGTTGGTCCTCACTATTGAACCAGAGGGTTCTTGTTATTGATTTGATGAATATGTAAATTTTTACTAAACGTACTAGTTGGACCAGAGGCTCTGTATCTATTGATAAGAGCTTTTGTGTCAAAATTATATTTTAAGCAGTTTTTAAGAAAAAGGAATTTTATACTTAGTATTTTATACAAAAGACAGACTAGAGGGCTCTGGTCGACTCACACCTTGAACCAGAGGATCTGGTTGGTCATAACTTTTGAACCAGAAGTTCTGGTTAGTACAACCAGAGGCTCTGGTCAAGGAACCAGAAGCTCTGGTAGAGGAACCAGAGGGGCTCTGGTCGTGTTTAGTAAAATATTTCTAAGTATGATATTTGAAACTAGAGGCCCGATGGACTTATACAGAATGTGATTCTATCTTTTGATTTTAATGGTATATTTCAAATAAATGTTTTGGTGATCTACACCCTGCATTACATAAAAGAGAACCT